CTTGGATTATTTTGCTAAATAATATGCCTAAAACTCAGCTGCAGGGAATATAGCAGAGATTTAAGGAGAAATACATTTCAAATCTCAAAATTATGTATCGTATTTGTCACTGTAAAAAACTAAAAATACTCAAAAAACCTCTTTGTTTCTAACACTAAAATCATTATTATTAATAAACACTGTGCGTACTTTTGTGTTTTTTGTCTTCTTTCATAAAAATGAAACCCCCCCAAAATTTATTATTATCCCTTTGAATAAACTCTACTCCTGTCTCTTTCTCTACCTCCTCTTAAAGGTCAGTAACTCTTAAATTTGCCCTTTGGAAGTTACTTTGCAAATCCTGTAGGCATGCTTTATTGTTATTTTATTATTTTTCTTTTGTCTCCTCTCACCGTGTATTTTTAAATATCCTGTCTTCAAGCTCATTAATCCTTTCTTCTGCTTGATCAATTCTGCTATTAAAAGACTCTGATGCATTCTTTGGTATGTCAGCTGCATTTTTCAGCTCTAGAATTTCTACTTGATTCTATTTAATGGTTTCAGTCTCTTTGTTTAATATATCTGATAGAATTCTGAATTTTTTCTCTTTGTTGTCTTGAATTTCTTTGAGTTTCCTCAGCACAGCTATTTTGAATTTTCTGTCTGAAAATTTTCTGTCTCTGTTTCTCCAGGATTGGTCCCTGATGCCTTATTTAGTTTATTTGGTGAAGTCATGTTTTCCCATGTGGTGTTGGTGCTAGTAGATGTTGTTTGGTGTCTGGCCATTGGAGAGTTAGGTATTTACTGTAGTTTTCACTGTCTGGGCTTATTGTAGCTGTTCTTCTTGGGAAGGCTTTCCAGATATTTGAAAGGATGTTGGTATTGTGATCTACACTGTGTGTGCTTTAGGGGGCACCCCAAGCCTAGTAATGCTGTCGTTCTTGCAGACTCATAGAGGTACCTCCTTGATGGTCTTGAACAACATCTGGGAAAATTCTCTGGATTACCAGGCAGAAATTCTTGTTCTGTTTCTTTACTTTCTTCCAAAGAGAGTCTCTCTATCTCTCTTTCTGTTCTGAGCCACCTAGAGCTGGGGATGGAGTGACACAAGCATCCCTCGGGCCACCACCACTATGACTGTGCTGGATCAGACCTGAAGCCATCACAGCATTGAGTCTTGCCCAAGTCCTGCTGTAACCGCTGCCTGGATACTTGCCTATATACTCTCAAGGCCCTGGGGCTCTACAATTAGCAGGTGGCAAAGCCAGCCAGGCCTCTGTCTTTCCCTTTAAGATGGCAAGTTCTTCCAGTCGCTTCGTGCCTCCAGAAGTCAGTGGGTTCAGCAGTCAGGGACTAGAGCCAACAATCTTAGATGTCTACCAGGTGTTCTATTGTACAGTGGCTGGGCTCACACAAGACACAGTCCTTCCCACTCTTCCTCCTCCCCTCCAAAGGCAGAGGTGCCTCATCCCATAGCCACTGCCATCACAGGCCACAGGGTGTACTGCCAGACTACCTGTGATGTTTACTGAAGGCCCAAGGGCTCTTAAGTCAGCTCATGGTGTATGCTGCCTGGCCTGGGACTCACCCTTCAGGGCAGTGGTCTCCCTTCTGGCCCAGGGAAGGTCCAGAAATGCCATCCCTGAGTCAACTCTTGGAATCAGGGACCCTAAGAGCCTACTTGGTACTGTATCACCATGTGTCTGAGCTGGTACCTAAGGTGCAAGAAAAAGTCCCATTTGCTTTTCCTTCTGCTTTTCTCAAGCAAAAGAGTTTTATCCCATAGCCACCACAGTTGGTAATGTGCTGAATCTCACCAGAAGCCCGTAAGTCTCAGAGGCCCAAAACAGAAGTTTTGATTGTTCTCATTTTCTAAGATTATTAATCTCGTACTTGCTGAGGATGTCCTAGTATTATTCATGAGAAAACCTTTTTTATCTTCTCTAAGTACATTTAGTTCATCTCTCCAGTAGCAAAACTGACAGCTGCAGATACAAAGATAATCTGAGTTATTACAAAATCTGAGATACCCTACTTAATTCTATTAATGCAGTAAGCCAAAATGATGCAGGTAGAATCTAAGAAAGATAGTAATGAAGACTCATAGTATTTTTTTCTAATCCTCATTTTACAGGCCAGGAAATTGAGGCCCAGGAAATTAAATAATTCGTCTTTGGTTACCCAGTTTTAAGTGATTAAATTGGGGCTAGCATTCAGCTCATCTTACCTCGGCTATCTTTTTAAAAAAAATTACATTGTTTCTCTACTATAAATATTTTCAATTTTTGCATTCTAATATATATTTTGTTCTTAACTGATGTTTTTATAGGCTTTGTCTTTTTAGAGATTAGTCATGGAAGTTTTGTTAGAAGACAGAAGCTTTAAATTAGGTGTCATATTCTTTATAGTGTAGGTGCCCCAAAATATTTGTTTTGTTAAAGAATACATTTTTGTACAAATACTCCGTGTCGGTCCTACTGCTAATAGCTAACAACCCTAATTGGGAGCAGAGTAATAGCAGAGTTGATTGCCCTCACAGCATCCTCCTCTTATCTTCATTAGAGCCCTTAATCAAGTCATGGTGCTGTTTTCACTTTCCCTTTTCCCATATTGAATTATGGGCCTGTGTGCCCTTTAAGAGAACCTCTTCTGTCTTAGAAATCACAGTAAAATCTTTGCGTTTCCAGCAGTTAGAATCTGACACTGAGTAGGTACTCAACATGTGGTTGTTGAAGAAAGGAAAGAAGAAAGGAAGGGGAGGGTGGAGATATATATATATTTGTTGTCTTAATGAAGAATTGATACCTAGGTTGTAGGCAAAGCCTGTGAAGCAATCACCCTGAGCAATTTTCTTAATCTCAGACCTAGTTTCTTCATTTATACAATAGGGATAAAAATGCTTGTATTACATCACTGAGTCGTGATAATATAACAATATGAAAGAAAGCACTTTGAAAAGCAAATGATGAAAACTTCTTTTATCAATGAAAATTTTATCATTTAGCAAACAATGAAAACTTTTATATCAAACAATAAAAACTTTTATCAAAGGAATTAAAAGTGTTTCTTTCCTGAAGAGACCTCTTGAAATGTCAGTATAAACTCCCTGGGACTTCCTAAAGATTTTCTTAATGATTAAACTGACAATAAAATTGGAATGGGATGATGTGTTTACTGCAAGGGGGGGGCCTCATGCCACCCAGTCAAATGATGGATTTTGTTTTTAAAATCCATTTCTGTTCTGGTTGCATATAAAATATTAGGAATCTTTGTTCCTAATGCTTTCTTTTTGGGAAGTAAATTCCTGAATTATCTCAAAATATTTTTTATGGTTGTATTTTTGATTATAGAAAGAAAATTTGAACTGTAAAAAGCTTAGAAATCATAGAAGAGGTTAAATCCAATGCATCTGTAATTTCCCGAAAACCAGTTAATATTTTATCATATTTTTGCATTATGTATATAAGCACGTATGTGTATCTATGTGTGCATTTACACAATTCAGGCCATACTTTTTATGTAGAAATTTGGAAAATAGAAAAAGGATGAAAGAAAGATAATTTATTTACTTAAAAAATTTTCAACTTTTATTTTAGATACAGAGGTACATGTGAATATTTATTACATGGGATGTTGTGTGGTGTCGAGGTTTGGAGTACGAATCCTTTCACCCTGGTAGTGAGCATAGTATCTGATAGGTATTTTTTAAACCCGCCTTCTAGTAGTCCACAGTGTCTGTTGTTCCCACATCTATGTCCATGTGTGCCTAATGCTTAGCTTTCACTTGTAAGCGAGAACATGTAGCATTTGATTTTCTGTTCTTGCACTAATTTGTTTAGGATTATGTCCTCTAGCTCTGTTCATGTTGCTGCAAAGCACATGATTTCATTCTTTTTTATGGCTGTGTAGTATTCCATGATTTATATGTAGCATATTTTCTTTATCCAATTCACCATTGAGTGCCAGGTTGATTCAATATCTTTGCTATTGTGAATAACACAGCGATGAATATAGAAGTGCATGTGTCTTTTGGCAGAATTATTTATATTCCTTTGGGTATATACCCAGTAATGGGATTGCTGGGTTGAATGGTAGCTCTGTTTTAAGTTCTTTTTTTTTTTTTTTTGAGACGGAGTCTTAGGCTTGTTGCCCAGGCTGGAGTGCAGTGGCACGATCTTCCCTCACTGCAACCTCTGCCTCCCAGGTCAAGTGATTTCTCCTGCCTCAGCCTCCTGAGTAGCTGAGATTACATGCATGCACCACCATGCCCAGTTAATTTTAATTTTAATTTTTTTTAGTAGAGATGGGGTTTCACCATGTTGGCAAGGCTGGTCTTGAACTCATGACCTCAAATGATCCACCTGCCTCGACCTCTCAAAGTGTTGGGATTATAGGCGTGAGCTACTTCATCCTGGCTGTTTTAAGTTCTTTGAGAAATCTCTAGATTGCTTTCCATAGTGGCTGGACTAATTTACATTCCTACCAACAGTTTATAAGCATTCCCTTTTCCTTGCATCCTTGCCAACATCTGCTGTTTTCTGACCTTTTGATAGTAGCAATTCTGACTGGTGTGAAATTGTATCTTATTATGGTTTTGACTAGCATTTCTCCGATGATTAGCTGTGCTGAGCATTTTTTTCACGTTTGTTGGCCACTGTATGTCTTTTTTTGAGAAGTGTATGTTCATGTTCTTTGCCCTTTTTTTTTTTTTTTTAAATGGGGTCATTTGTTTTTTGCTTGTTGATGTGCTTAAGTTCTCCATAGTTCTTATACGCCCAAAGATTTTTGTGACTATCTTCTCCAATTCTGTAGTCTGTCTTTTTGCTCTATTTCTTTTGCTGTGCAGCAGCTCTTTAGTCTAATTAAGTCTCACTTCTCTATTTTTGTTTTTGTTGCAGTTGGTTTTCGTGACTTAGCCAGAAATTCCTTGCCAAGGCTGATGTCGAGAAGAGTATTTCCTAGATTGTCTTCAAGAATTTTTATAGTTTGAAGTATTGCATTTAAATAATTCTACTAAAAACTTTAAAAATTTTAGATTTAGGAGGTACATGTGCAGGTTTGTTACATGAATACATTACATGATGCTGGGGTTTGGGCTCCTATTGAACCCCTCATTCAAATAGTGAACATAGTATCCAATATGTAATTGTTCAGTTCTTGCCTCAACCCTCTCTTCTTTTGAAGTCCCCAGTGCCTATTGTTTCCATTTTTGTGTCCATATGTACCCATTTTTTAGTTCCCACTTATAAGAGAACTGCAGTATTTGATTTCATTTTCTGTTTCTGCATTAGTTCACTTAGGATAATGGCCTCCAGCTGTATTCATGTTGCTGCAAAGGACATGACTTCATTCTTTTTATGACTGTTTAGTATTCTATGGTGTATATGTCCCATATTGAAAGAAAATAATTCTTAATCCCTCCTACCAAAGGTTTTTAATCTTTCCTATTAAAGTTCTTTCAGGCTTCTTCTTATTGATACACATAAAGTAGAGGAAGTATTTAGAATCCTTGATGGAATATTCAGTATTTTTAACCCTACTCTGAATTCACATTTCCAGAAGGAAAAGTTTGAATACCTTCATCTTAGATTAGCAAGAGAAGGGGATAATAGTCTCAGCAAAAGGAATAGAACTGTAAGTCCTGAAAAGAAAAAAAAATGTGATTTTATCTGACAAAGGAAAGGATAGTGTAGTGGACAATCATGTACAATAGACGCTCCCTTCAGTACCTAGGTATAGATATATTTTAAATGGTATTCTAGTATACCACATTTTGTTTCTCTTTGTTTTCTTTTTATTAATTTTTCTATTGTGGCCATATATAATAATATAAAATTTACCATTTTTTACATTTTAGAGCCATTAATACATTCACATTGTTGAGTAACCCTCACCGCTATTCATCTGCAGAACTTTTAAATCATCCATACTTAAATTCTATACTCATTAAATAAAAATGCCCTCTTTGCCCCTATTTTATGAATTTGACTATTCTAGGTATCTCTTAGGAGTGAAACCATGCAATATTTACTTTGTGTCTGTCTCATTTCACTTCATTTAATGTCTTCAAGGTTCATCCTTGTTGCATGTATCTAAATTTCAACTTTTTTTTTTTTTTTTAAGAGTCAGGGTCTCACTGTGTTGCCCAGGCTGGTCTTCAACTCCTGGGCTCGAGCAATCCTCCTGCCTTGGCCTCCCAAAGTGCTAGGATTACAGGTGTGAGAGCTGCCATGCCTGGCCTAAATATCACTTTTTATCTTTTCTATAGTAAGATGATAGTGTGTGTGTGTGTATTTTATATATATATACACACACAGACACACATACATAGAGTATTGCATACCATATTTTGTTTATTTATCTGGGACAATATTGGATGTTTTCGCCCTTTGCTTATTGTGAATAATAGTGCTATGAACATCGCTGCACAAAGATCTGTTTGAGTCCCTGCTTCCAGTTTCATTGTATATATATCTAGAAGCAGAATTATTGGATCGTATCACAATTTTGTGTTTAATTTTTGGGAAAACATCATTTTCTGCAGCATCTGCATCATTTTACATTTCTAACAGCAATGCATAAAAATTCCAATTTCTCCACATCTTTGTTAACACTTGTTGTTTTCTGTTTTTTGATAATAGCCATCATAATGAGTGTAAGGTGGTATACCACATTTGTTTTGTATTTTATTCACTTTTTAATATGTCAAACTTTATAATTACACATTATTTAACTTTTCTAAGCAAGTTTTCATTTGTGGCGTAGTATTTTATCATATAGATACAAATAATGTGTTTAATCATTTATTTGCTGATATGTATATTATACATATTCTAGATTCTTTCTATTCTGACTTTTTTCCAGCCTTAAATCTGATTTTGTAAGAAAGCCTAGTGTTCTGTCCTTTTGTGTTCCAAAGAATGAGTAGTACATGTGTGTGGGTATGTCTGTGAGTGTATGTCTGTATGGTTAGCAGGTGTGGGGTGGGTGGTGGTGATAATTTTAGCCATTTGCTTCAATCTTCTTTAAAATGTTCATGCTCAAGGTCTTAAAATACACACTTTATGATGAAAGTATTAATTATCTTTCACATAAAATTTCCATTGTCTTTCCTTTTAAGTTATACATGTTTTATTTGGCCCTTTCTTGGACTGGATGTTTTGAGAAACAAATGCTGTGAGAGAGATTTGTACACAGGAGATTTATAAGGAAGTACCCTCAGCAATGAAATAGGTGAGTGAACCTGAGGAAAGTAAGACTGTTCTTCACATTGAGCAGGGCAGTACGAAGCATGCTTCAGGGGATCATCTGTGTGTCAGAATATATAATGATTCATAAGCATATTACCATGCAATACAAAGATTTTCACACATTGTGTTCATTCCTCTATGTCAATCCACATACCTCTTTTCTGAACTTCCCTGTACCAGACTTCCTGGTTTTTTTTTCCTTCTGTGTATTGATTAACCAGTAAAGGCCTTTGCCATTGCTCATGAAACCACATGTATATATGGGTCACTTTTCATTCCACATAAAGCAGATGGCTGGGTACACCTGCTGAAGCTCTGCCCATTGTAAGAAATTTTATTTTCTGTTTTTTTTTTTTTCCCAAAGTCATCTCTGAGTGAGATGTAGTAGCTATCAGTTTTCAACTTGTACTCACATACTGAGTCAGTCTGTTCCTGAATGAAGAATTTCTAGTATTCTAATTCATCTAATGTATCCCTTTCTTGTGCATCTCAAGCCATCTGAGTGTCATGTTAGACCATCTCCCAGTGTTCTTGCAGGATGTTAAATCTTTCATCACAGGATAGTACTCCCATATTGATAAACTCTCTCTTACCCAACTTTATGTTCCAACACCCCTTGTTCTAGCACCTTTAGATTCAGTTCTACATATGCTCTTCACCCTTCTGCTATTGAATGTGTTATATGACCCATGTTCTAGGCAACCTAGTTCAAGAGTGCTTTGGTCCTGAAGGGAATCTGAGCCACATGGCACAGGACCTGCTACAGGCTCTCTTTTATATTGATCAGTCTTTCATTGATCATTATTTTTCTGCATAAAGGAGCACATTTATATTAGAATAATCATAGTTTCCCTTTACTGAGAACCTACTACATATTACATAATTGGTAATAATCATATTAGCTAACATCTACTAATCAGCTAACCTATTAGCTAACATCTAATCATAATCATATTAGCTAACATCTATAAAATCAGATTTTAACATCTTGAAATTTGGTAATAATCATATTAGCTATTATCTACTAAAATGTAAAATTTATTTTATCCTTTTAAAATTTATTTTATCCTTAAACAACTCATAAGGTAGATACTCCCATTATCTGCATTTTATAGATAAGGAGTTTGGGGCATAAAAGATTAAATATTGTGTTAAATCACATAGCTACCCAATGGTAGAGTCAAGAGTTGAACTTCAGGCAGTTGATTCAAGCATTTGTGCTCATAAACATTTTGGTATATTTTCTCTCTTACCAGCTACTAAAATCAAAGGTAGTTTGCTGATTTAGCAAGAAATGTTTTAGGGCATACATATGAAACATTTTAGATATGAATCAGAAATTGGAATTAAGTCCAGTTCTCACTTGAGCTTGCACTGGACAATTGGAAAAGTGTTCTAATTTCACCACCCTGCTAGAGAAATGTATTTTAATTTCAAGTTTAACCTTCCATTGGTACCTTTGAAAGAGAAAATCTTTGCCTCACTATAATGTTTCCTGCATTAACATTTAGAAATGTTTAGATAGAAAAAAAGAGGATTGAAAGTAGAAATTATCCTGTCTGTCTAATCTATCGATCTATCAATCAATCAATCAATCATCTATCTGTAACCAGGGGAGGGAGCGGAGGCATCTGGAAGTTGCTCCCAGAATGGAAGTCCTTGGCCTCTCTTACCTGGAAGAATGGGGAAAGTGGTCTGGGAGGCACGGTGAGTTTGCATTTCCAATAAGTATAGTGAACCCAAAGAGTTTTGCAGAGAGTGATTTATTAGACAGAGAGAGAGAGAGAGAGAGGGAAAGAGAGAGAAGGAGAGACAGCTTCTATGCTGCCATGGGAGGGGATCGAAAGAAGGAATCCTTATAGGGAGGCCACAGCTGGATTTTAACCATTGAGTTATTCCCTCCCCATTCATGTTCTTGTCCATTGAGAGGAGTTCTTTTAAAGTTCCTTTGGAGTGATTGACCTTTGACTCTGATACCGGATTGGCAGCTTGGTTCACAAAAGAGCCCCCTCCTCCTGGAGCTTTTGGCAGGCTTTTTGGAAAAAGGAGCCTACCAGGATTTTTCCACCTACCACAAGGGCAGGAAACCCAGACAAAGAACTTTACTTTATGGGTGGAGGGGTGGAGCCAGGAAACTCCTGCCTTTACAACTCTGCCCCTTGTGGACCTGGGAAGAGCCCCTCATGTCTATTTTGCCTGTCTATCATCTATCTGTGCTTATCTGTCCATCTTTCCATCCATCATCTATAATTACTTCATTGACATTGTTTGTGCTGTTATTGGCAGCCTAGTTCTTTCTCCATTACTGAAGTTACCATGAGCTCAGTAAAAGTCCCTGATAAAAATCACAGACTCTTTTATTCTCAAAATTCTTTTCAGAATTGACTAAAGCTACCACATAAAAAAGAAAACTGTCAGGATCAGGAGTGACTGGTATTGCCCTTTTACTCTGCTTACAGTTAGTGCAACAGTTCCTCTGATAATTTCTGCTTCTAGGAGGGAACATTGGATATAAAAGAAGAAAAGTACTAAAAGGTTTATTGAGAACACGTGTTTCTATATATAATTCATATGAGTTGCCTGGCACAGTGCAGGATCCCATAAACATTAGTTAACTTCTGTGCTTCCCTGAGAATGTGGAGGAGGAAAAATGAATAGAAGGTAAAAGCAAGACTATACTTCAATAATTGAAAAGGTTTCCAGAAATGCTTTCTTAACATTATAAATGAAGAACTTAAAGGAACCCCACATGATAGAAACTTTGGAGAAGTAGCAATAATGGCAAAATATTTTTGAGTTTCAGAGAACTGGGGCTTTGACTGTTCTGTTGGGTCTTGTCATTTATCTTCTTCCTTGATACTCTGTTTCTTCACCTA